GGTAAACAAGTAGTTAAGAAGTTAGTCAGAAAGTAACTGTGATAAAATATTCATTTTACTTGGTAACATTAGTTTATTTAATATGAATGAATTAAATGTAATGTATATGATGAAGCAAATTAATATACTTTGTATACTCTATTTATTTTACATATTACTATTGACGTTAACATAAACGTTAGAAAATAAATTTAACCAAATTTTTCTATAAACAAGTAAATTAATTAAATTTCAACTCTTCGTCTAATATATTTCATGCATATTTCTTTAATTAACGTTGTGATATAAATAATGGTCCGAATATAACATCATAGTCAAAAATTGTTAAAAGAAATTAAAAACAAAATTCAACTTTTCCTTTTTTTTTTTAATGTTTCTTCTTATTTCTACAATATGTTATTTATGTAAATATTTGAAACAACGTGATACTAAGAAAATAAAATGGAATATGTGCTATCTAGATCAAAATTTCGATTTTGACCATTAGTTAACCTATCGCGGTTTTGTCCCTCATTTTATCATCTATATATTTTATATATATATCCTTATGCTACCGCATACAAATGGGCGTTGAGTCTATAATCCGTAGAATTGTCTGACCCACTGATAAATACCTCTTAAAGCATCTTTTGCCTATGTTTATAAAATTCATTTTGCTTACAGTAACTAATGAAAATCGGAATACCATAAATTCGGATCTGTATAATATATATACCAAATGTTGCAAATCTGATCAGACACAACGTTGAATGTGTAACCAACCCCAATCCCCATTATTGGGCATAAAGTTGGTATTTGCCTCCTAATGTAAGCTTACATAGAAAAGATATAAAAAATAATTTTTGAAAATATTTTTAATTTTAAGAAAATTGATCAAGAAAACAATTTACTATGGCTCATCTTTAATCCATCAAATTGATAGATTAGACAAAACGAATTAAATCATACTGATAAATTAATAATTCTACCTGATCAATTAAATGTAACAACTTTGCCACCCTATAAAAGAATTAAATTTTGCTAACTCTAAAGCTTTGAATAAATTATAAAAGATTTCGTCCACATTGACAGTAGAAAAAAAGAGAGAGAAGAAAATAGGTAAAAGCTTTGGTGTACATATTAATTATGGCAAGTGGTGAAGTATCGTCGTCATCTTTGCCCTTCAATATCCAACCAACAAATTTAGCTTTAACTACGCCCAACCTGTTTCTTGTGTTTGAACCTACTTACCAACTACCTCTTCTTATTTTGAGCATACTCTTAAATGATACAGCAACTGCCTCTACTCTTCCGGCTCATGAAAACTCACTAATACTTTTCTCAAACCCTTCTAACCATACACTTTTCCACCCAAACACAAACACCAATTGCAAAACACTACAATAATTTCGAATACTGTTTTTGTACTTTTTTATGCTCTTCAATTTTCAAAAACATCTTCTCAAATTTATAATTCAAACTATACACTTTTATTCTATTAAAAAATTTAACAATTCTACTAAATGAAATAATAGAAATAAATGATAAATTTAATCAAGATAAAATTTAATTATGCTTAAAAAATTAATTTGTAAAAATAAGTTTGCACTTAATCTTATATTATAAATTAGTCGATGTTAACTTCTAATTAATATATATATATATATANTAATGTTTCTTCTTATTTCTACAATATGTTATTTATGTAAATATTTGAAACAACGTGATACTAAGAAAATAAAATGGAATATGTGCTATCTAGATCAAAATTTCGATTTTGACCATTAGTTAACCTATCGCGGTTTTGTCCCTCATTTTATCATCTATATATTTTATATATATATCCTTATGCTACCGCATACAAATGGGCGTTGAGTCTATAATCCGTAGAATTGTCTGACCCACTGATAAATACCTCTTAAAGCATCTTTTGCCTATGTTTATAAAATTCATTTTGCTTACAGTAACTAATGAAAATCGGAATACCATAAATTCGGATCTGTATAATATATATACCAAATGTTGCAAATCTGATCAGACACAACGTTGAATGTGTAACCAACCCCAATCCCCATTATTGGGCATAAAGTTGGTATTTGCCTCCTAATGTAAGCTTACATAGAAAAGATATAAAAAATAATTTTTGAAAATATTTTTAATTTTAAGAAAATTGATCAAGAAAACAATTTACTATGGCTCATCTTTAATCCATCAAATTGATAGATTAGACAAAACGAATTAAATCATACTGATAAATTAATAATTCTACCTGATCAATTAAATGTAACAACTTTGCCACCCTATAAAAGAATTAAATTTTGCTAACTCTAAAGCTTTGAATAAATTATAAAAGATTTCGTCCACATTGACAGTAGAAAAAAAGAGAGAGAAGAAAATAGGTAAAAGCTTTGGTGTACATATTAATTATGGCAAGTGGTGAAGTATCGTCGTCATCTTTGCCCTTCAATATCCAACCAACAAATTTAGCTTTAACTACGCCCAACCTGTTTCTTGTGTTTGAACCTACTTACCAACTACCTCTTCTTATTTTGAGCATACTCTTAAATGATACAGCAACTGCCTCTACTCTTCCGGCTCATGAAAACTCACTAATACTTTTCTCAAACCCTTCTAACCATACACTTTTCCACCCAAACACAAACACCAATTGCAAAACACTACAATAATTTCGAATACTGTTTTTGTACTTTTTTATGCTCTTCAATTTTCAAAAACATCTTCTCAAATTTATAATTCAAACTATACACTTTTATTCTATTAAAAAATTTAACAATTCTACTAAATGAAATAATAGAAATAAATGATAAATTTAATCAAGATAAAATTTAATTATGCTTAAAAAATTAATTTGTAAAAATAAGTTTGCACTTAATCTTATATTATAAATTAGTCGATGTTAACTTCTAATTAATATATATATATATATATATATATATATATATATGTATTAATTAGTGTTTTTTATTTTAGTTAGGTGCAATAAATTTGTAAACCACTTTAAACCAGAAAATACTATTCTTAATTCTCTATAAAGTTATTATGAACAGTATAGCATTTAAGAATTGTTTTTAGCTACAAAGTTATATTAACTAAATAGAGGTGAAAAAGTATATTTCATTCTTATTAATAATAACATATAAATTTAAAATAAAATTTACGATGTCTTAAACTATATATAAATAGTATACAAACATTACAAAAATTTTATAGATAGAAAAAATTTTGCTGGTAAATATAAATTATGGACACAAATTTATTCTTTTAGTAAAATTTGTCAATAAATTTATGAGTAATACATAATTTATTTATCGAAATTTTTTGTTGTTGTTAATTTGTCAGTAACTTTAAATCTTAAATTTTGTCGGTAAAATTTGTCAATAAAATTTATCGATAATTTAAAATGTTTATTATCAACAAATTTGTCTATTAGTAAATCTATAGATAAAAAGAGTAGATAATTTTTCATCTTTCCATCCAAATAACCCAAATCCAATTTCACGGGAAAGGAAGTATCTTTTTTCTTCATCTCTAAACATAAAAGAGCTTTCTTCATCTTCTCTCATGCGTAACTCACACTAGTAGAATCCAGGGCCTCATCACTATTGTCCATGTTGTCAATCGAGCTCACCTCATTGGAGATTAGACAGTCCACCAAAACTACTGTTGTTGACTCAATTTCGGGACTGAATCTCTTAGGGGTTTAATCGCAAGTTGTAGGATTTGGTTCTCAAACTCAAATTATTCTCCTCGCTGGAAATAATTCACCCAAATGAAAAGTGTGTGTCACGACATTGTGCTCGCTTTGGTGTTGATGGCCTTTGTGTACTTGGTGGAGGTGACGTGATCACTGATCAGGTCCATTAGGCCCCCTCTAGTGGACGAGATCGAATTGAATTATGAGATTTTGAAGGTGATAAAACTATTAAACTCACGCGATCTGCTGCTACAGGTGTTGGCATTAAAGTGCATGTTAGAGACTTGTCGAGCTCACAAAATCATTTGTTTAAGCTCGATCATCTATTTTAAGGTCGACCTTACTATTTTTAAGCTTGACCCTTTTAAACTCAGTCCTACCAATTTTATGTTCGACCATGTACTATTTTTATTTTGGTGATCTTTTCCAAGTTAATATAGCACTATTACAGACACCTTTATGTGAGTTGCATGACAAGGTTTGCAGTGTAATTAGAGGTTGGGGAAGGGCTACCATAGAGAGAGAAAAAGGCTTTTAAACCGAAGGTTCTGGTGAGACTTAAAGAAATTTCTCTTTCTAATGTTGAAGCTATCACCATTGTTATTGAAGTTTTGTTTGGTTCTTCATCATAAACTATTTTCTACAAACACGATAAAGAGTGAAGTAGTGTATGTGCACTCGGTGGAGGAGCTTAGTTTTGGATGAACACGATAGACTGAACTCCATAGTTGAATAGGGCGAGCTCGATAACACGTGCCTAAGTCATGTCATTACCAACAAATATCGCTCCTCAATAATTATTGATCTATACAAATAAATCTATCGTAATTATCGAAAAAAATATTCATCGATAATTATTGAATAACGATATCATTAGTATATTTTACTAACGAATTTTGATATGTCAGTAATTTATCGAAAAATAATAATTATCGACTGACTCATAAAAATTTTAAACATATATTAGCCAACAATAATTTTTTTATAGTAAAACTCTAATATACAAACATTAAAAAATATGTCCTTAATGCATATTCAAACAATCTCTTATATTAGAAAAATCTTACACTTATAGATAACATGTTATTATTTTCTGGTCTTTTAAATGTTAAATAATATGTCAGGGAAATAAAATACACAGAATACTAGTTGTGTAAATACCTTTCTTGTTTTCCAAATTGAGCTTGTTTGCTAACACTTGATTTGTTGACTCGTGCGTACTACAAATAGAATGATTTTCTAGTCTTATAATTCACATTGTACCACATTGCTTCCATTTTCTCTTTTTATTTTTTATTTTTTTTATATATATTCTTTACATGTTTTCATGTCACAATCTTAGCCTCTACTTGTGTACCTAAACAGAGTCCATGGAACAACGTGCATGGAATCGCTATATATTACAACACACCCAATTTATTTTAAACACAAACACAGCCAAAAACATTAGACAGAGACACAAAAATGGGAACTGCTTATGACCACGATTCTCCTCCTCTACTCGAAGACCTTAAGGTGACCATCCACAACTCCTCCATGATTTTCCCATCCAAAGAGACTGAGAAAAAGTCCATGTTCTTGTCCAACATAGACAAGGTCCTCACCTTTGATGTTGAAACGGTTCACTTCTTCGGATCCAACAATGATTTTCCTCCCCATGTTGTCACTGAAATGCTCAAGAATGCCCTAGAGGATGCCCTTGTTGTTTATGACTTCTTGGGTGGAAGATTGAAGGCACACCCTGAAACCCAAAGGTTAGAGATGGATTGTACTCCAGAAGGGGCAGGCTTTGTGGTCGCTTCCAGTCAATACAAACTGGATCAGATAGGGGATTTGGATTATCCAAACACAGCCTTTTCACAATTGGTGCACAAGAACAAGAATTTTCTTAAAGAGGGTGATGATCCTCTCTGTGTTGCCCAGGTACATATACATTATCCATTATTGTCAATGATATTTTTATTCCTAAAATTCTTTTATATTTATTTTACATTATTTTCAGTGTTTTGTCTTTTTTCTTATACATACAAAAATATATTTTGTTTATAATTATTTTCCTCTTACAATGTATTATCAATTATCAAATGAACGTAATTGTTAATTCAACTGTCATGTTACTAATATACTATGCGGCCGTATTCTTTTAAATATAGTTTCTTACTTATTCAAAATTATTAAAGTTGCAAAATGTGATGGATCTCATTTCTATTTTAAAATTTTTATTATCATTTTTAATATTTTTAACTAGTAAATCATGTTAAAAACATATCTGATAAATAGTTATCAATGACCCTCCTTGTTGTTTAATTATTGCCATTTCTTACTCTCTTTTTTTATATTTTTCTATACATATAGTTATTAGAACAGCTTTTTTGTGACGAAGATAAACTTTTTAAATCATGATTCTTGATGATTATATATTATATGTATGATTACTATTACAAAATTAAGTTTTGTTTTGGTTAAAAAGTTTCTGGAATTATTTATATAAGTTTTCTAAATGGAAAAAGATAATGTATTACTTTTATTAAAACCTTTATGTCTTTTTTTTGGTATATTAAATTGATAATAAGAGTAATATTATTATTATTATTATTTTTTTCATTTCAATCAATGTGTTTCGGTTTCTTCATATCCTTTCGTTTCGAATTATAATATTTGTTATTTTCACAAGGTATATTTGACGGCATAGATTATCATTAGAAAGTTCAAAATCGTATATGTCTTAAAATAAAAATAATTAAAATTTTAAAAGGACAATGCTAAATAAGATTTGAGAGATCAAATGTTGAAAATAAACCTTCTGAAAACAAAAAAAAAAGGAGCAAAAACTAATTTTCGTAAAAGAATCAGCTACAAAAAGTGGTTTAATTTTAGGGTAAAGTATCCTAGTTAAATAATTATTGAAACAAAACATTTCGTTTAAAAAAAACATAAAAGGAACTGTTATTGCGTGTTTCCTGTGATTTCTTTATTAGGCTATTTTGGCTTTTAGTTCCAATAATAATAGTAGTGGAAAATTAAAGCCTTCAAATACAGTTAGCCGACTACGCTGTCACATTATGAAGTTCCTGCAATTAAATGAATCTCAATCTCTCAACTTTTATTCAATTTATAATATCAATTATTCCAACTCAATATCTAAAATAGTTATAATGATGATTTACTGATAAAAATTAGAAGAAAAAATGAAAAAAAAAATTCAACTAATAATTTCAAAATATAATTTAATGGATTTGAAAAAAAAAATTATAGATTCAAAAAAGATAAACAACTAACATTACCCATAAAAAAAACACAATATCTACAATGCATATTAACATATTTTATCTCATTCATAATTATCTTTATATTTAAAAAAATGTTTTGCTCTTTAATACTGCACATCTAGACTCAATTATAAATAAAATTACCTATTTTTACATTGATGATATATTATTTGCTACTTTTACTTTCATACAAAATAAAAAAAAAACATGTTTTTTCTTAAATTATCTTTAATTATATTTATTGAAAAGGATGGTAACTTTAAATATAAATATATTTTAAAATAGTTACATGACTTAAATAATTGAAATTTATTTATATTTAAATTTATTAAACATAAATTTGAGTTCAATAGAAAATATAAAACTACGGAAATTACACTTTTTTTTTATGGACAAAGAAAAAGAGAGAAACAAGGCTTCCGTTGTATCATTAAATTTAATTGGCAAACCGATGTTGACATCACGTATTCCTTGATTACAACGTCACAACCATTCAAATCGGTTCTTTATGATATTCAGACAATAAAAAAATTGTATAAACTTTAAGACCAAGATTAATGTGATAGTTACTCACTAACTGCTTTGTACAATTCACTTTCTTTATAGGAATAAAGAAAAGAAATATGAACAACACAATTAAGGTGCAGTACATATTTTTAACTTGATAGTCTTCATATTTTTATTATTATTGGATAAAGTTAATCCCAGTTTTATTCGATGATAGAATTTAGCTTTCTAAAAACTCTTAATGAAAGTTTTGCATGATAGATATATGATATGATCTTTTAACAAAAAATAAAGCTCTATTATATTTGGATGCAGTATTTCAGAATTATTATATTGAACATTATTGCTTCTTAGAATGTTACAGGCATGTTAATTTAATTATTTCTACATTCAGCCGTTTTTTTTTATACTTTTAACATAGATATTACAGAAGTTAAAAAGTATTATCCCTTATATTTATAACTAGATGATATACTTTTTCTCTATAACTTTACATAAGAAACTTTTTTTCTCGAAATATTAAAAATAAACTAATTTTAATTGTATTAATTGTTAAGCATATTATTGATTTATTATAAAGTTTCTATTAACTACAATTACACTTCGAATTAAGAGGGTTGTTGGAAATACATCTAATCACTATTTTAAAACATTTGAATTTATGTGTATATCTTAAAACAATAAATTTATAATATTATTAATTATAGCTACTATAATAAAAAAATTTGTCGGTGATTTGGACTTATGTGTTATATATATATATATATATATATATATATATATATATATATATATATATATATATATATATATATATATATATATATATATATATATAAATTAACATATAAACGATTCTTGTATTGCTAGTTGTTGCTTCTTTCTCCATACTATGATAAAAAAACTATGTTATTTAGACCACTGAATTTTTATCTATACCATTATATTATATAAAGGAGGTTTAACCTTTTTTACACATCTCAGTTTTTTAATTATACTCTTAATAAGTATTTTTTTTTCAAATCTATACATATTTTGTTTTCCAATTTTATCATACATATTTTTTTAAATTAAAATAATTATTTTATTAACTTTATCTTTTAAATGACTATTTTTCAATTTGACCATTTTTCATTTATTTATGTTTTTAAAACTAAAATAACTATTTATAGTAAAAAAATATTTATAAAATAAATAAAAAATACTTTTTATAATTGTGTATTATATTTTGGTATGATAAAAAGTTGTGAAGCTAGTCTAAAGAAAAGCAATTAATCACTTCTATATTGTTGCACTTTTATAAAGGGGCTCACTTTAAATTATTGTATAGAAATTGTTGTGAGAGTATAGATTAGAGAAAATGTGTGAAAAATATAGACATCATGGATTTGTTTATACATATTTTGCTATAAACACTTTTTATAAGAAGAAAAAGAAGGAAAAATAAGTTTTTTCATGGGTTAAATTTCTTTATAAACAGGCTAAAAATTAAAATTTACGGAACCAAATAATAAATTTTACTTCTTTTAATCTTGAGTAAACATATTAATAATAAAACTTATAAAAAATGTTCTCTCTGACACAGATAACATCCTTCAAATGTGGTGGTTTTGCCATTGGCATTTCCACAAGCCACACTACATTCGACGGCCTCAGTTTCAAGACCTTCCTTGACAACGTCGCTTCCATAGCCGCTAAAAAGCCCTTGGCAGTGACGCCGTGCCATGACAGGCACCTGCTGGCGGCACGATCCCCGCCACGTGTCAACTTCCCACACCCGGAGATGCTGAAGCTGAACGACCTCCCCAAGTCCAACATCTTCGAAGCCTCAACGGAAGAGCTTCACTTCAAGGTCTTCAAAGTAACCTCAAACGACATCACGAAGCTCAAGGAAGAGGCGAGAAATTCAGTTGGTGGTGACAAAACCACACGCATCACAGGCTTTAACGCTATCACCGCCCACATATGGAGATGCAAGGCACTGTCATGCGATGATGATAGGAACCCTAATAGGTCATCGACGATTCTGTATGCTGTGGATATACGTTCGAGGTTGGAGCCTCCTTTGCCGAAATCTTACACGGGTAACGCAGTGTTAACGGCGTATGCCACAGCAACGTGTCGGGAGGTAGAAGAATGGCCGTTCATGAGGTTGGTTGAAGCAGTGCGTGAGGGTGCAACTAGGATGACGAATGAGTACGCAAGGTCGATCATTGACTGGGGAGAGATGAACAAAGGGTTTCCAAATGGGGAGGTTTTGGTGTCATCGTGGTGGAGATTAGGGTTTGAGGAGGTGGAGTTTCCATGGGGGAAGCCTAAGTATTGTTGCCCTGTGGTGTACCATAGGAAGGATATTATTCTGTTGTTTCCTCCTGTTGATGGAGGTGATGGGGTGAGTATTATTGTGGCTCTTCCTCCCAAGGATATGAACAAATTCCATGCACTCTTCAATAAGTTTTTGGGTGTTTGAGATTCTGGGGGATTAATGTGATATCTCTAGCCTTTTACTAGTTGTTATGTAATAAAGTATGTTGTTTTTCTTTATGTGAATGACGCAGTTTTATATAGGAAAATGTTATGTTGACAAACAAGGTCGAGGACAAAATTGAAAGAAAAGTTTTAAACTTTACGAAATTGGTTTCGTGGTTTTCGTTTTCTTATTTTTGCTCTAACCTCTGGAGTTCTTTCATCCCTTCCATCTTCTCTCTCGTTCTATCCTGTATCTTCTCTTTGAAAAACTAGTTGCGTTTTCGCGTGTTGTGAGATTTGGTTTTTCAGTTCTTTCATGTGGTAGTTGCTGTTCTCTTTCTATCTTTTCTGTGGTTAGAAGGCCGGTGCCGTTTTCGGTGTGGTCACATTGTTGTGGACTTCCGTCTCTTCGACGAGGCTGTGGAGCATTGTTTTCTTTCGTTGTTGGTGTGGTGGTGTTTTTGTTGTAAGTCATAATGGTCGAACCCTAACTCTATCTTTTACATTGTCTTTTTGGTGTTTCAGTAACCGTAATTATTTAACGAGTGTGGATTGTTATTTTGTTAGTACAGGTGCAATGGAAGGGCAAAAACGAAGTGTAAGATAAATTATAATTTTCTTTTTATAGATAATTTATTATTATAAAAATTATAGTTATTAATAGTTATGACCATTTTTGTGTAGTGGCGGCTTCTTATCTCGATGGACTCATCAATCATTATTGAAATGAATCGTTCACTAGGAAAGTATCATGTGGAGCGCATTAGGATGACTCCATTTATGTGGTGTTTGAATATTCATAGCCTTGTGGAGGTGAATTTGAAATTATTGAAGGTTATGGTTTGCAGGTGGGTCGGGCATGATAATAGTTTTAGAGTTCGTCAACAGTTGGTGCCCTTTTTAATTATTGATGTGTTCATGAGCATAGGTTTAGAAATAGGTGGTTTAGAGATTCCGTTTGATGAAGTAGTTGTTGGATTGGTTGGTAAAATGTTCAAATCAAAAACTATCACTTTGAAGGAGTTGACGGACATGTTTAATGTCATTGTGCATGATAATAACATTGATGTTGATGTAGTATGTAGGTTATATATATATTAGTTTGTTTGGTTGTTTTTTATTTTCCTAGGAAATCAAGGTATGTTTGTAACATGCCTTTTGCAGTGTTAGATGACTTAGACAGTTTGTGTCTATACGATTGGTGCACCGGTGTACATAAACATATTGTACAGAATTTAAATAAATGTAAGAAGAAAATTATGAGAGGAGGTATCGCGCAGTCACTCACTCTTAGTGGCAATGTGGCAGTGTTGCAGGTAACATGATTTATAGTTTATTATTTTCATGTACTGCAGAACATTGTCAATTAGGTTTGATGAAATAATATTATGATATTGTAGGCTTGGGCGGTTGAAAGACTTTCTTTGCATGGTCATGCTTCACACAGGTTTTTCCCGCGCATAATGCGATGATTCCAGTATAAATCAAGGACCGAAAAAATTGAACATATATTTAAGACCGGAGATGTAAGTGTTTTGATATTCGTTATTTTTGATGTAAAAATTGATTGTCTTATTTGTCAAAATTTGTTGTGTGATAATGATGCAGTTAAATCTGGAGAGGTATGTAAGAAAGGAAGATCGTCATCGCCCGAAAATCCGTGCAGCTTTCCACATGGATGACGGAGGGATGAGTGAAGGATCCTTGGCTGAAGGATCCAAGGTTGAGAAAGATGATGACGAAAGCTCTGATGACGGCACATGGGAAGTAGGTGCCGAGGAGAGATTGAGGAAAAACAATGAAGATCTCAGAGCATTGAATGCCAAGATTGGAGTTCTTACTAGGGAGTTATTTGAAATTTGTCAAACTCCAATCTTTACTGAAGAAGATGCATGTGGTACTGATGAAGAAGTTGCTGGTAGAGTTGATGAAGCACTTGAACTTGGAGGTGACGAAGAGCCTGAAGTTGGAGGTGACGAAGAGCCTGGAGTTGGTCGTGATTGTGGATTTGAACAACAAGGTGATGGTAATGCAGTTGATGACCCCCTAGGTGCATATACGGAAGTAAGAGGGGAGGATAAAACCGCATATGAAGATGAGATAGTTTCAAGAAGTCATGATAACATTGTTTGCATTGAAATCCATGATGATGGTGATGAAGAAGAATGGGAGGCCGTACCATTGGTTATCCCCCCATTGCGCAGTTTTGTTGGAGATCCAAGCACCACTGTTGATGTAGACCAATTGTACAGAGCAGTCAGCGTCAGAGAGATCACTGTATACAGGTATTTGCTTTGAATTATAGTTGTGGTTGGCGAATCTCTATTGTTTGTGATGGACTAATATTTATATGTTTAGGGTTGTATGCGAGATAATTGGGCAAACCTTGAGCACGACTTCATTTTACACTTTGGCCCCGATAAAATACGTTGATAACATGGTTAGTATTGTGACATTTCTTTGTGTTTCATGTTGTAGTTTATGATAGTAATGTGAAAATTTTTAATTGTGTAAGTGGTGTTATTTGCTTGTACGATGTTTATGTACTTTGAGAAAAGGTTGTGCAGTGTTGTTAAGAGGATTCATTTTAGTCCATTATACTCGGTAAATAAAATTTGATATTGTATCATATATTTCATTGAAGAAATGATTTTTGATTGATGATTTTGAAATTGTCCACAGCACCATATTCTTACAAATTATAGGAAACGTCCACAGAATCGTCATGTTTGGACGCTTCATAACTATAACAGTTATCTGCGTTGCGATCAGTTTGGACTTGGAGACATTGCCACAGCTGACTTTGTGAGTAACCTTTAATGTGCAATAATTGTCCAGTAATGGTCGGAAATGTGTTATTGATATTGTTTTTATTGTTTGTAGTTGTTTATGCCATTTGTCCACGATGATCATTGGTGGTGTTATTCAGTGAAATTGAGTCCATTAGAGATATTTGTGATTGACTCATTGGGTAAGGGGATCAGAGACCGGAAAAGGATAGACAGTTGTTGTAAGATTCCATATATTTCATTGTTGATTACCCTGTGATTGTCAGATAACCTTGTATTGTTTAACATTTTTTTGTATTTGTTATCTAGTAGGCTGAAAATATGGCACGATTTTTTTGCCTCTTGATGAATAGACCGGAAGGTAGTATTGGTCCTTTGACTGTTAAACAAGCAAATATCCCATCCCAACCAAACTTGTAAGTTTTTTGAATTGTACTGCTGTATTATATTGTGTTGTGATGAATATATGGTGAAAAGTAATTTTATGTGGTGGGTATATTATTTCAGACATGATTGTGGAATCATAATGTTGAAAGCAATGGAAATTTGGGATGGAGACGATAAATACAACGGAAGAAGCAAGCCTCAATATACAACTGTAAGTAGCAATTGTGTGTTTGTTAAAATTATTTTATGTGTTGGTTTGTAATGGGGAAAATGTTGGTTTCAGGAGGAGCTGCTTGGGATTAGAAAGAAATATGTATGTGAATGAATCCTTGACAATGAGAACATAAGACGAATGGAAGCCCTAGAGCTATATGGCATTCTTTAGGATTGCTTACACATGAACAAATTTGTCTTGTAACACAACATGTTTATATATGTACATAATGTAAGTTGACAATGTAAACATTGTTTTTGAAATAAGATTATTGGTTAGATTTTCAATTTAATTGTTTTGACGTTGTGTTTGTTATAATGAATAAATCTTTTATTGAAAAAATAATGCACCATTATAATAAGTATTTCAAAAGTAGGGGAGGGTTTCATAAGTGAAATTAAGGGTCATTACTGCGAAGGAGTTGAACAAGTTCTGAGTTTGGGCTGGTGAAAAAACTAAATGGTAATCGTTTACAGTGGGTTAGTAAAAGATTACGCGACAATAAGGTGTGTTTTGTACAGAAATTTGAATTGAAACATTGAACCAGGGTGACTTTGGTGACCATTGGCAAAAACTGTTAGTTTGAATCAGAGTTGCAATTGTGTTTGGAAGATGTTGGTGTTTTAGTGGTCTTAGAGGGTAGTAGGTGATGTGAGGTGACCCCAAGTAGTGGGGAAGAACCCATTTTCAGTGGGGGAAACAACTTGGGCAAGGCCTGAGCTAGTCTGCTGAAAAACACACATTCGTAATCGTTTACACAGACCTAGTAAACGATTACGCGAGAATATTCCAAGTATTATACAGAAACTTCAACTGTAGTAGTCAGTCAGGGTAACATGGGTGACCATTGTGAAAAACAGTTTGTTGGAGTCACATGTGGACTTGTATTTGGAAGATGTTAGTCATTGACTGTTAGTAGATGGTGCTTGGTGATGTGATGTGACACCAAGGAGTGGGGAGTGACCCATTTTGAGTGGGGGGACCAAGTTGTGGAAGGGCTGACTCAAAGTGGTCAGAAAACCTTGTGGTAATCGTTTACAGTGTCTTCGTAAAAAATTACTCGAGAGAAATCCATATTTTGTACAGAAACTTCAACTGAAGTAGTCAGTCAGGGTAACATGGGTGACCATTGTCAAAAACAGTATGTTTCAGTTACATTTGCACTTGTGTTTGGAAGATGTTGGTCTTTGACTATTTGTAGATGGTGCTTGGTGATGTGATGTGACACCAAGGAGTGGGGAGTGGCCCATTTTGAATGGGGTGACCAACTTGTGGAAGGGATGAATCAAAGTGGTCAGAAAACCCTGTGGTAATCGTTTACAGTGTCTTCGTAAACGATTACCCAAGAGAAATCCATATTTTGTACAGAAACTTCAACTGAAGTAGTCAGTCAGGGTAACATGGGTGACCATTGTCAAAAATAGTATGTTTCAGTCTCATTTGCACTTATGTTTGGAAGATGTTGTTCTTTGACTGTTTGTAGATGGTTCTTGGTGATGTGATGTGACACCAAGGAGTGAGGAGTGACCCATTTTGAGTAGGGGGACCAAGTTGTGGAAGGGCTGACTCAAAGTGGTCAAAAAACCCTGTGGTAATCGTTTACAGTGTCTTCGTAAACGATTACCCGAGGGAAATCCATATTTTGTACAAAAACTTGACCTGAAGTAGTCAGTCAGGGTAACATGGGTGACCATTTTGAGTGGGGGGACCAAGTGCAAGGGATGAATCAGACTGGTAA